GTATTTTTATTGGGTGTGACTGTTTTGAGTATAAGTTTGAGAGTCAGGAAATAGTGTTTTTGGAACGAAACGGAAAATGATTTAGAAAAAGGGTATATTATTATATTATATTATTATATTATATTATTATATTATATTATTATATTATCTTATATTATTATATTATATTAATATATTATAAAGTACAAATTTTATGACGAAACCAAGAAATAAACAATGGTGTACCCAGTTTCTGAAACTATTGTCTCGGCCTTGATCAATTTGATTATTCTGTCTATTTTTGTAATCTATGAGAACGTTGAGATTAACAAATTACTAATCGTAAAGGTCATAATATTGGTCATGGTAATATTATTAGTTATTAACGTCTTAATTATTTTTAAATCGAGCCTGGAAAATTTATTCTAGTAAAGGACAGCTTTACGTTTATTTTACACTTTCCAAAATAGTTTTGTTCGAATCATTTTAAGAGGGACATTTTCTGGGAAAAATCAATTTTATTACAGAATGGATTCTTGCTTGTTGAATTAATAATTATTTTTCTCTACTTATTTTCTTATTCTATTTCTATTGGCTGTGCAAACTCTATTAAAGGCTCGCCAAGTTTGCACAACCTTCCAAATAAATAAATTAAAACAATTTCCCCTTATTATTGATGGCTGTCATGATAGCTTGAAATCATCCCAGTACAGCCATAAATAAACAAAAAAAATAATAAAAATAAAAAATTTCCAACGCTGTAACAAATTTATAAAAAATAGCAATTGTCGATGTCAGTAGACCAAATTCGTGTGTACTAATGTGGCTGTACTAGCTTAAAATGCCTGGATCATGGCCGCTGTGAAAAAAGTTATTCTGACTCATGCTATTTAGAATCCTCGCTTTCGGCTCAGACTATGAATCTGCATTCATCAGATTCACTTTCCCATCCTAGGCGTGAAAAATACTATTTTTCCAAAGGTTTCCGCAGCTGAAATCATCTCCGTATATTTTACCATTTTTGCCCATGATAACACATTCTTTTACTGTAACGCCAATAAAATAAAAAAATATCAAATAAAATATACAAGGGATACATTCAGAATTTGGAAGGCCGCAGAGAAACCAAGAATTAATTATCAATGATGTATCGAACGGCTATCAAAGGTCCGACAGGAAAACTCCATCAGAGTTTCTATCAGTTGTTTCTGAGGCATGTTTAAAAAATAAAACGAGCTGAAGGCGAATTTAATCTGCGATCCCAGCAAGCGGAGCGAGGTTAGAATCGCGTGATTACGAGCACCTGTGACATAAAATACTTGTCAGTGCTCCGAGTTCGGATTCATTCTTTCTAAATGTCTCATTGTTTCTAAATCAAATGAAATAACAAGTATAAAAATCTCACACGAATGTATTACGAGTAAAATATAGTAGTTTATATCATAATAGCCTTCGGTGCGCATCATAATTAGATTCATCTGAAAAATACTTTTCAGACCATATGACATACATTGTTTGCTGTCACGAAATCCAGCTAACTGGGTCGGGTCACGTGCTAAAGCTAATATTCAGAAATGCTTCGAATCATATAATAATATCATTTTTTTGTGATTCAGCATGCAATTTATTCAAGTTTTAAAGAATTCTTCGTTGAAGGAATACGTAAAAATTTCCAACTCACGCAGAAAGTTAACTTGTGGAGCATGAAATAATAATTTCTATCTCATTACCATATCAAACGGGACACATCGTGCGGCGGGAAAAGTAGGAAACGCCTTATGAAAAATACTATTGGCTGAAAGCTATCCGCTAAACCATCGAAAATTGCGAAACCGAATATAAGAAAATTGTTATCGGAGAAACAAATTAGCAGATTGTTTGAAAACTTATCACTTATTTGCCGGTACTCTTCGAAAAATAGGAACTGAGGGTTTTTCATTCTGTGAAGGAAAAAACCGAGCACATTGTGTAAAGATGATTTTTGAATGTTAGAGTTGGATATATAAACTAAAGAAAAACTCGTATGTTCTTTTGTTCTGGTTGTTTATGGTCCTGGATAAAACTATTTGTTGTAGTTTCAGAATGAAGACACCAACAATTTGTCATGTGCTTTAGTTTCAAAATTCGATTGATGACAGTGTATATTACTTGTTTCAAAATGCAGATATTGAATAAAAAAATTTTCTGCTCTTAACGAGCAATATCAAAGAATGAAAAATGTAAAAAATTATTCATGTGCGTATATTTCCAATTTCCAATTTGCTAAGTTGCTGAATGTAGAGTTCAAGAGCTAAAAACTTCCTAATGGAATAAATGGGAAGAAACCACATTTTACTTGATAATAAATTCTGGAAAGAGTCAATGGCTTCAATCATCTCATTGACGACCATTACTGATGATAGTCATAATAATGAATCGGTCTGTTATCTCTATTGATAAACTTTGCAAATGAAGGTGTGTTCATAACATGGTCTGTAGTAGTAATCTAACGGGTCATACACGTATAGCAGACTGTTTTTCTCCGATTGGGACATAACGAATGTACCTGCTACGGTGAAAAGAGACAGAAACGGAAAATGAACGGCCTTGCCAAGGAGAGAACTAGTACCGGTTCACCACACCCTGTACATCTACGCAATAAAATCCGGGCTCTTTCTTTGTCTAATTTTCATCTTGAGAATGTTCCATACATATATAGCCAAAATTTTAGTTTTAACATTTAAAAAATATTCATTTTTTGCGTTTTGTAATTAACTAATGAGGCACGAAATTTCGTGGCGGTGTGATTATTTTTATGCATTTTATCTACAGTTTTGTGACTTTTTTTTGAAAGGTTAGAAAAAAATGCAGAAAAATATTCTCATTGTTGTGAATCGTTGTATAAAATAAATAAATTAAATAATGACAAATAAGTAATGAAACGCATAACCATTATATTTTTTCCCGTCAATCCGATAGTCAGTTTGCCAGGCAAATGAAGAAGTGTTAATTTTGGCTATATATATATATATATATATAGAGCACCCTTAACATATAAAGAAAGAGTCTGTAAAATTAGAGTCTGATCACAAGCACAGTTCATTTGTAATTATGTTTTTAATGCAGATAATTCAACTGGTATTCTTATATGTGAATGATTAAAAACTGTTGGACAAATGAAAAAAAAAGCAAAATATGTGGTCACCGCCGCGAAACTTACCAGAAATTGTTAAATACACAATTTGTAACGTGGTCAATTTTTCTTTAGCCGAAAACCGGATGTTAGTCGCGCCTAGTCCTCCGGTCAACCGACAAACCGCAATTACAACGAAGCGTAACAATGGATTCTCGGTAAAAGTAACCCAAACGTAGAGTAAAATCAAGTAAAACGTTGCTTAAAACTAATTTCGCGAAAGAAAGGTGATAGGTTACAGCGCTGCTCAGGGCTGAGTTTATGTACAGAGAGAGTGAATCGAGGTGGAAACGAGAGCATAGGGAACTTGAAGAGAATGGTGCGGGAAAAAGAAGAGTACTCGATTATTGAGATGAGAAAAGGAAAAAGGGTATTTTCAGAATGAATAAAAAATAAAAATAGATTATGTCCCAAACAGGAGAACTCATAATCCAATTCTCAATATGAACTGCCAAAAATCAAAATATAGTAGCAAAAAGAAAGAGATAGGATAACAAAAAGAATGTTTCAGGGTACACCCTAAGGGAAAAATACATACAGCTGGTTCGGTGAGACGGCGAGATCATACGAAAAGAACAAAATAATGGTATTATCTCGTACACACACAAATGAGTTTGTAGATAAAATATCAGCACACTAAAGCGGGCGTGATATACGCAGAGGCACAGAGAAAGACGTACGAGGCCGAATGATCCTGGAAAGCATAATTTCTAGTAATGTGGGTTACCGAGCCAGTAAACGTAACCGTCGCATATCGCCGCAGGAATTTGATTCTTACTTAACATCATTATTTTATTTCCTTAGGTCTCTATGTGTGAAACATTGCGGAGAATTCCTCAAAATCATCGCGATACACCGATTCGAGGAATAAAACCCAACCGGCAGAGGACAGTAATCGTATTTCCCACCAAAAAGAAAGTACCTGAAAGTGATATGGGTGGCCGTGAAGAAAGCAGAAGGTATTGGGTTACCATTATAAATCACAGCGGCCCTGTGCTCAATATAAGACAAAATATAAGCCGAGCACAACAATCCAGTCGTACATGGCAGCGAAAAACACCGAAAGTACTTCGCAGCAACGCACTCAATGGAAAGAAAAAAATAAGAAAGGAATCCTCTAGAGAACAATCCGTGACACTGACCCTGGTCCTTTTCCAGGTTCCCATGCCAATTTCATTACGTTTCATTATATTCACTCGATCTACAATAAAGTCTTAGCAGAAATAAGTAAGTATAATAATTATTTCTGGACTTGATTCCTATTTCCAATTGACAAAGTGATCCGCTATTGACAGCCCTTTTCCATATACTCCATATACTAGCATATTCAATTCATCTGTCAGATCTAGCATAATTAGTAGCGGTCATCTTACTTACAAAATTCAGAATAATTGACCCCCCGCTTTGCATGTCACTGTATACAACATAATGGCGAGCAGGCCACTGAAAACTGCACGATTGCAACTCCACGATTTCCAACGGCGCCGTCATTGGCACTACAGTTTTCTTTTGCAAAAAATTGTACTCTTTTTTGGGTTTGCAAACTGAGAAATTGTGCAAATGATTGTCACCTTAGTGCATTTTTTTCAGTGTTTTTTGTGGTACGTCATCATCATCATTCAATTCACGGTTAATTTTTATTATTTTTAAAATTCGGCTGCATGATGGGATCTGAATAGTGTCGGCAGGAAAAAAAAATAAAGTCAAATAATCTCGGTCTTAATTCAAGGAGACATCGTTTTCATTTCAATGGACTAGGGATTGTCAAAAGATGAGAGAAGGGGGAATGCGAATTGCAGTGCGTCGGTTGAGGACAATACTCGAAACGAACTGTAGTTGGTATCACCGTCTTAACGGAATCAGGGGAAAGCGCATCAACGTAAAACTATCGCTTCAATCTGTTCAGGCGTCTATCCATCATTTATCCCGGGTATATTCACTATAAAACATTGAAAAATTACTCTAAAAAGAGAAGAGAAATTGTTCAGGTGGGCAGTGAAATCTTTAAAATACTTTTATGCCATCGGTGCCCGTAATCGCGGATTCGGGGCGCGATGGCATAAAAGTTTGTATGAAACGCCTGCGTAATATACTATTTCCTGATTATCTGCGGAGTTTATACATGTTTTTTAGATTCCAATTTCGTAAATTCCATCAAGGGATCCCCGGGTCAATTGTTTTTGAATGTTTATTGCGGACGATTATCGGGATTAAGTTTGCAGATAATTGTAATTATGGAAGAGGTTAGAAATGCAAAATCATTTGATTTGGGTAAAGAAGGTTAAAAAAGTAATTTCACATAATGATCCTCTGAATTCAAGTAAATATTATTTTTGTTTCAGGACACCAATGCACGGCAGGAGGAAAAAATTGGGGAGATTTTAGCGCGGCACCAAGGAGATTAATCGGTGCCGATGACGGAATTCATTTTTTTTCTGCTCAATCCAGTCAATGTGTCAACTCGTTTGAACATTCAACGATTTACCTCGCTACATTTATTCCTCAGAATTATTAACGAAATTCTTTGCGTATTTTTGTCAAATTTCCTGTTGCACGAACATTCTTTTTTCTTGGGTATCCATCCAACTATCTGATTATGATGGCTAAAACCATTTAAAGTTTCCGGAAATTTTTCGAATCTGAAGATTGTATGATGTGTATAGAATTTTTCACATGTTAGTAGGACGTGATGAGTGAATTTTTTAGAAAAATAATGAATCTAATTTTACCCTTTTGACCTTTAAAATGATATGACGAATATGTTGAAAATAGAAAAATACCAGTAATATTAGGGATTTTGGTGTTACCGTAAGAATGTATATTTTTCTTCCTTTAGATTTTCTCGATTTAATGAGACAAAATATATGAGCAATATCCAATGAAACATCCATTTTTTCCAGCGTTAAAAATTTTTTCCTTGTTGACTAACACCTTTTGTGTTGTTCTTCAATTGTCTTCCAGGTGAGGATATTAATTGTAAAAAAATTAGAAACTCGACTTCGGAGGAATTGGCACTTTTAATACCGTATGAGATAGTGTCAACACTTCCTCACCAGCAATAACGCTAATTATATTAAAATTATATTTCGCCGTCTTGTTCTCCACATCAAATGTGTAATAACGCTCTTACCATGCGGTCCATCGTCGAAAATCCGAAAATATGAAAAAATAGTTCCTTCCGCGTATCCCCGCGCCCGGCGCCACCTCAACATCATTACGTTTTTTCGTGCGGCCCAATACAGTTGCTTGTCGCACACAATTTTCACTTATTCAATATCCCCCTGTTGTTCCAGTTAATGCTCATATCTAGCAATGCAGGAATCTGCTAGGCCCTCGGTCGATAATGTATGGGGGAATCTTCTTTATCGGCCTCACGGTGGTAATGTTCGAGGCTCCATTTTGGGACACAATGCAGGGTGGGGGGATATCCACATGTGATATCACACGTTCAATATCCACCATATGATATCTGATATCTAATATCTAGTATGTAATGTCTACTATCAAATGTCTCATTTCTGATGTCTAATATCTAATATTTCATAGCTGACAATCGTAGTTGCTAAAATTTTCAGACGTTCTGAAAATTTGAAATTTCGTCTTCAAAATCATCATGAGTAGTAGAAACTAATAATGGGAAACATGAATTTTTTTCTTATGAAATCTGAGGAATGATTTTAAACTCAATACTTCTCTCTCTCTCTCTCTCTCTCTCTCTCATTGAGATTGAAGCGCGAACTGGTCCACCGCTCACGTGGCCGAGTGTGTTTACCGGTGAGCACGTACGCGCCGTATAAACAAAACACTCGGCCTCTTGGGTGGGTGGTTTCGAAGTGGAGTAAAAGCCTATTCCATGGATTGAAAAAATGATATGGTACAACATAGGAAGTTGAATAATTAGTAAAAGCGATTTTTTTTCTATATTGAATGGAAATGAAAGGAGTGAAAAGGTTTGTCAAAATGAACATGAGAAAATTTTTAGAATGTGTAAATATGTTGTTACATTTTGCAAGTCAAAACAAAAGAACGATTTTTAGATAATAATTTAATTAAAAATGCCTAATATTTCAATCAAAAAGTTCATTAAAATCCTTTTTATTATTTTCGAATTTTTGATGAGATTTTTTGGCGGCTCCCCAATAAATTATTGGCGGTCAGAGATTTTTCCGAGCCATGGAAATGGCATCGGTTGTGTCCCCCAAATTTTGGGTGGTTTTGAAGAGGTTTGTGGGGGTGTTTTTCCGAATAATTTCGGCTTGCATTATCCTCCAGTGCGGTTGGGAGGTTATGGGTGCGATTTTGTGGGATTTTGAGGGTATTTTTATGTTAATATCAGTGAAAATCTCCACGGCCAATGAACAGGGCCAGTGGTTCTCCCTCGTGGCGCAATCGAGGTCGCCCACGAGTGGTTATGTGCAACAGGTGAGGAATCGCGTGTAAAATTTCCTCACGGTTATTAATTAATTCCACGGCGTTAATTATGTACTTTTCTGTTTAAATTTTTGTGGAATTGTGGGGAATAATATCCCGAACTAGATGGTTCAGGGTTTTCCGGAATCTGCTGAGCGGATTCCGCGTTATGGAATTTTCAGTGGAGTTACATGGATTTTGTGGATTTCTCCTCGCTGCCAACCGAGCAGCGAGGCATAGTTCCATCTCTCTCGCTCTCTCTCGCTCGCGCTTACTCGTTGAGGGTCCGATTCCGGGAAATTATCGATTTCCCGGGCGAAAATAATATTTCGGTTATCCCTCGGATTATCGCCGATCGATAATCCTTGAGGCCGCATTCCGGTGGGATTATTTTATGGGAATGTGGAATAGTCAACAAAATATTTCGGATTTGTTAAATAATTTATTTTTTGCGGTGATTTAATGAGACAAATGAAATTGTATTTAGGATTTTGTTAGAAAATTCATATTCTGCAACGATTTATGAGGGGAATCAAATTTGTGATTGGGGATGTTGCTGGGACGCTGATGTTTCGAGAAAGTTGAAATTGCGAATAAAAATTTGGAAGTAGAGTATCTCAGAGAGTTTTTTTTTTGTATATCTATAATTGATTATTATCCTTGTATTGCATCTCGACTCTCAATAGCGGAACACGTAAGGACAACGTTTTGTTGCATTAATTTATTTCTCGCTTCTCGTTTCCTATTTTTGGTATTTTTTCCTATTTTTGCAGTAACCTTGTCCCCATCTACGATCCACCCCTCTCGCTGGCATACTGAGCGACCCCAGGACCGTCACCTTCCCCCAAAAGCCTAATTATCCTTTCCGTTCCCTTCAGGTTCCCTTTTTGGATTTTAGAGACTAAGTTTGAGTTAAGATTTTAGGATTTCGAGGTACGATTTTCGATACAATGAATTTTGAGGTTAGTTAAGTTTAGGATTAAGGACTTTTTTCGGTTTGGTAATTCCGGACAAAAATTACCTGGCGCCCATAAGGTTAAATTTTAGCAGATTTTATTAGGCTCAGGGGAATTAGGGCGAAGGTAATGGGCATTGTCCATTCCACGGGAAAATGTCACGTTACAAATGGCGCCCGACGTGGGGCCAGAAGGTTATTAACGCACAATTGGGATTATTTTCCGCGTTTCTTTTTTTTCTGGGGGTTTAGAGAATTTAATTGAGATTTTTGGAGTTTCGAGAAATTGAATTTTTTCTTGTCTTGGATTCATGCGAGACAAATATTTTTGATTATTGTGAGAATTAAGATTTGTGACGAGGATTTCGTTTGCGTATTCTGCAGTCCCGCGATAATATTATCGCGTGGGAATAGTATAGAGAAATTTGTTTTTTTTTTGCGTTGAGAGTCCATACGTTTTCGCTATTTCTTTTGCAGTGTCTTCTTTCAGGCCAATTAAAGGTAAATTAAAAAATTTTTTTTTAAGGTTTTGGTGATTTGGAATTTTCGCGATCCCGTAATGGCCTCATCACGCTGGAATATTGTTTGTCGAGGGAATTATTGTCCTGCCGCTATTGTCCTCGGGACTAAGGCAGTTTTCGGGTGAGAGAGAGAGAGAGAGAGATTTTCCTTTTCGTGCGATCGCGGATTATCCGGACGTCAAGAATGACATCATCGGTCCGGCACTTTAAAAATTTATTGGGCCGCGAATTATCGTTGTTAAGTGGGGATCATGTTCCCCGGGTACCGTTATGAGTAGGGGGTAGCAACTCCACAGCAGGAGGGGGGTTACCCCGCGTTTAGCTGAGGGCCAATTTTAAGGAGACCCTTAGCCTCCTACCGATCAGTATAGTATGAGCATTTAGAGGAGGCAGTTCAAAATTTAGTATCGACTTATTAAAAGACTACTGAGATTTATTATTTCGGGTTTGAGTTTCGCGTAACGCTAGCAACAAGCGCGAATTGATAACCTTCTTTTCTGTATAAAGTTTTCAATACTACATTTTCTTCTCTTTTGTGTGACTTGATAAATTTTTTTTTTGTGAGTGATTACTAACAATTTCACGTGGAGCTCCCGAATCTGGCTTCCATCGACTACGATCGGCAAGTGAAATTTAAAAATTATATTAATTTTATTCATCCCGGGTTATCGGAGTCTTTCCGATCTCTATCGTTTTTTTTTTCGATTTATCATCGACAATTTTCCGCTTTCATCGGCTTATTTTCCGGTTTATTATCGACTACTTTCCGACTTTCAACGGCCTATTTTTCGATTTTTTATCGGCTCTTTTCTGACGTACATCCGCTTATTCTCCAATTAGTATCGGCTATTTTCCGATTCTCTTTTACCTGTATTGTTTTCGGTTAGTATCGTCCCCTTCGCCGATGTTCCTTTTTTATCGGGGTGCATCGATCCCCATCGGTCTTTTCCGAATTTTTAATTAATAATTCCCTCCTTAATCGGGTTAGGAGCGGCCGATCATGGGCGATCACGATAGTGATTCGCCAGGGTTACCTGACAGTACTAAAAATCCTAGTACTGAGGCTCCTCGACCCGGTGGGTCTGGGATTCGAGGATCCGGAGCTGCGGCTCCAGGAGTCGATCTTACTGTCGACCAATCCGTCCAAACCGACGGCCACGAGATGGAAAATCTTGCCCCTCCCAAAAGGAGGGTTACGAGAAAAACCACCTCAACGACCGCGAAACCAAAAATAAAGGTTACACGGTGTCGGTCTCGAGCAACTCGTACAGTGACCGATGCCGAGGCCTCCGACGCCACTTCGGTCTCGTCGGTATCCAGTCATGGCTCTAATCGAGTCGTCGACGAGGACCTTCCAGTAGGGACAATCCCAGCTGGCAATCCGGACAGGGCTGTTGGCGCACAAGCCAATCACCCTCCACGGCTCCGATCTTTACAATCCGAGGGATACAACCCTTCGGCATCTTATCCACGCGAAAACCCTGGTCAGTTTCTCCACCCACCGTGGCGGTCTGGCTACCATCCCCGACAACCCGGGTCTCATTCGGGTGTCGAGGGCGAAAATCTCTATCCGCCTACACAGGTAGGTCACTATCCACAGCCTCTGAGGACCTTCCCTCATGGACCGTGGCCATCTCATCCTCCCGAGCACGGGAGAGACCTTCTCCAACGGTCAGGGGTCAATCCCCCTAATCTAGGGTGGAATCCATCGAGAACCGGAGGTCAACATCCCTCGTAGGAGAGGCAAGTCCCCCAGGAGACGGGCAGTTCATCCCCTCGTCGGCTGATTCCGGTTGAGGGAGACTTCCATTTTTCGGAAGAAGGAAGTAGTCCGAGACGTAGGCCTTTGGATTCCGCATCTCTTCTAAACTCAATGAAGAAATGGGGCGCGCATTTCTCCGGTCTTCCGCATGAAGACATGGAATCATTCCTCGCGAGAATTGAGGACGGACGGGCATTCCTCCCCATCCCCGATGACGTTCTCA